TTTTGTTTCTTTGGTAAAGCAAACAGAAGGAAGGAAAATAGTGAACAAAGCTTTGTCAGTTTCTTTTCTCTAAGGGGTTCGCATAGATTTTCTGATTCAAATCAAACAAAGGGCAAAATAATATTTTTGCTTTAAAGAAATATTGAACTTGAGGTCTCAAGGCTTGCAGAGCAATTTCAGATTCATTTAGGCCCTAAGTAAAATAAAATTTATTTTTAGGGCCTTTAATGCCAGTCTCTCTAAATTCTACTTATCTTTCTTATCTCCGAAAATCACTCCATTATCCTATTTTAAAATTGAAAAGAAGAATTTTATTGGAAAATTTACTTTTAATTACTCATTTAATTTAAAAATAATACGTCAATCTGGTATATCTTCTATATCTTCATTTCTAATTTATATTAGAGTCAATAACTGTAAAAGATATTTTCCAATATTTTTTGTAGTGTGAAAATAATGATGTTTACAAAATTCCTATCATGAATATCTACTTTATTTCATATTAATAACAAATAAAATGCCGTCTTCAATTACTTAGTATCATAACTTTCTCTCTATAATCTACCATGGTATTTGCTTTTTTAAACATGGTGTTTTAAAATTTTTCCATTCGAGCGATATTTTAAAATTATTCACATTTTAAAATTTGGCTGCCCTTATAATATCATTTAAATTTTAAAATTTTCATGCATTTTAGATTGTAAACTCCATAACTATCAAAATGAAGTTTAGGTTTTTTTTTTTTTCCTACTGCTCATAGGTATTCTCATATTGGAAATATTTTTATTTGAAGCATGATTAAATACTAAATGTGGACACCTTTCCTAACAAGGATTCAAACAATGATTCACTATGTTGTGAGGGATTGTTCCGTTTTGCCAAACCCAATCCCCGTTGATAATTAAAGTTTAGATTCTGATTTTAAATAACTATAGTAACTTCCTGTTTCCTATTTTGATTTTCAAATTTCAATTTAAAAAATCAATCAATTAATTAAAAAAAGTTCATGTTTCATATCTTCCACACCCCCGAAAGTCTCTCTGCTATCTCACTATCAATATTATCTCTCTATTAACTTTTTATTCCAAATTTTATATTTTAATTTTAAAAATATTTAAAAAGTTATGAATAATTCCACCCAAAAATCTCTCCATGTATTAATTATGAATACTGTAATTGTTTAATTTCTTATATTATTTTTAATTTTAATTTCTAATTTATAATAGTATAGGTCACATGATGTATCCATGATCTAATGAGCATGTGCGCGCATAACGTTTTCCTTCTTTTCTATAGACAAGGTCAACCTTCTTCCTTTGTCAATGTGAAGGTTCCATACCTTTCTTCCTCAATGATTAGAGCTTCCAATTCTTTCATTCCAAGGCTCTTATGAAATATGCTTGTTATGACTGAAAATATTTTCATTATACTAATTAGTTGAGACAAAGAGCTAGAATTATTGTATGATTGAAGATCCCTATGTAATTAAAATAATAGTGATATTTGATTTATGACTTACTGAACAATTAATCAAAATGATTCATGCGTGGAAATGATGCGAGAATCTTTTGAATGTGGCACATGATATTTGAAGTTTTAAAAGAGATAACATTTGATATTAAAGACCCATGCATCCTTGATTGAGATTTGAGAGACTGAATTAGAATATTGGTTACTAACGATAATCATGTTAGCCCTTAGTGTATCATAATCAAACTTATAATCAAGCTAAGTTGGTATTCGACGCTCATGTTTTTTTACTCATCAGCATAGTGTATTCTTGTTTGTCATTCATGAATCTTGTATTGGTGCTTATTTCATGTCTGGTTCTAGTTGCACTTAGTTGGTTATTTATCTTCATGGACGATATGTCTATCTTGTTACTTATTTTGATAAAGTCCTACTAAAGAAGTAGTCTTGAAATATATTGTCTTTAAATTGATCCTTTTAATAAACAAGCTCTTTATCGTGAATGGATTTTTCCCCCCTTTACAATAAGCTATATAACTCCTAATTGCTTAAAGCAATAGTTTAACCCGTGGAATTTGATTGCCATGTGGTCATTATACGAAACTATAGGTAAGAAACCTTAATTCATGGATGCCTACATAAGGAAGCATAATTCAGCCCTTTTGAATTCATCACATAAATTTTAAAAAGATAAACAATATAAAGATTATTGTAAGATAAAATGTTGCAACCCAATCCTCTTATTTCCTAAGTTGTCTCGTCATAAAATTTGTGTTTTTCTAATTTTGTATTTTAAATTACTCTTATTTTTAAGGACACATATGTAATTTCCATTATTTTCAACTTTGAAATGAGAAGTTATATAATTTGATGTTATATACTAAAAATATACAAGGAAAATTTCCTGACTAAATATCACAAATTCAGACTAAAAGGAAACTGAGTAGCATCATAGATACAAGCAAACAAAAGCATTAAAAAAAGTTAACTAAAATATGAGATCCGTTGCATTATACAAGTAATAATATTTAAAGTATAAATAGAAAACTTTAATTTTAAGGAGATATATGTCATTTTCAATTTTGAAATGATTAGTTATATAATTTTATGTTATGTAAAATATATTTGTATATGTTCTTAAAATGAACAGAAAACGAGCTGCACCGTATTTTTTTCCCCACATTTTTTGATAGCAATATCATGAAAAGCATTATGTGTGTGATATAAATGTATATATCCCCTAAGTAATAATATTTTTTTAAAAAATGAAGATAAATATGATGAGAATGTGTATACTAGCCTCTTTTTGGATACTTTAGTACTGCTTGACCATGAAGAGAAAAGTAAATTAAAGGCAGAATATGGGAAAGAAGAATCTAGCAAGTGACCAAAATTGACTCACTCAATAAGTATTACAATAAATTATATCAATATTTAAAAATTATGAAGATAAATTTTTCTCCAAGAAATTCAAAACAATTCTCATAATCAAAACACTCCTGGATACGCTATCCTCTCCAAAAATTTAATATTTAATTTGGTTTTTTTTTTAGGTATTGTATGACAAAATCTTTAATAGCCTTTTGATTAAATCAAATGGTTGTCATCATAACTTATTGAGTGAGTAGATTGATGCCACTAATTGGATCCAAATCTGAAAAGAAGATCATCCAATCAACTCATAATAAAGCTCAAGAGACCTTCACATTTAACAAGACTCAGAATACTAGATATATTAGATTTGCGACTTACAAAATTCAATCATGTATAACTGTTAATAATAACAAAACTAAAAGTCTGAACGGTTATTATGTGGACAGAAGAAGAAGAAGAAACCCAATGGGAATGTATATCCAGTGATTACGATATATGTCATTGAAGAAGCCTCCTTTTGGTGTTAAACAGAGAACCGCCTCACGCGAACTTTTATGTGCCCGTTTGGATTTTACTTGAATGTAATAAATTATAAAAATAATTGATTAAGTGATAAATTTTAATCATAATTGATTATGTTATACGATATTATTTTTTTCAAATTGATTTTAATAGAATTAAAAATGTTTGGATAATTTAATCAGAATCAAATTTTAGTTATATAAATTACTATATTGCTTTTCTAAATTAAATTATTAATATATTTGTATCTAATATTGTTAAATTTTATTTAAGAAATAAAATATATTATTTAAATTACATATCTAATTAATTCTTAAAATTTTGGTAACATCGAAAATATAACAATGTATCAAATGATGCAAAATCTCTCTCTCTAGACCTTTGCAACAATATTTTTCATGACTCTAAATTTAAATTTGATTTTCCTCTACCAATTAATATTTTCTTTAAATTAGTTTTATGGTAAGTGTTGAGTGGAAGGTGATAGTTGATAGGAACTTATACTAACAACTTTTTTGAGGATACAAAGTTTGAATTTTATTAAAAAATAAAAGAGAAGAGAAGAGAGTTTGGTTTTATTTTTATTAAATTATGTGCTTTTTTTGTAATTTTTTCTTGGGCTTTTCTTTATAATTTTTTCCAACACTTTTTGATAAAATTTTCAACAAGGATTTGCAGCTTTTGGAAAAAATTAATTTTTCTCCCAAAAATGGATTAATCACCAAACTTGGTGTTTGGATAACTTTTCTTATTAATCAATTTTTGACCTCAAAAATCGATTAATGAAGCAATCCAAACAGGCACTATAGTGATCAGGGAGCAAGTGGTGCAAAAGAAATCACAAGTATCAGAATTCAAAGAGATCATTATTGGCATCAAAATGGGAAAAAAAAAACATTATTTTTAACCAAGTCTTCAATATATGTATTTTTTTTAATTTGATGAGATGGAGTATATGCATTACAGCTACTCAGTCATTGTCCTTTTGTGTTTGCATGTGTGTGTTTGTTTTAACTTTCTAAACTAGATTAAACAAAAGTATGATAAATTTTAAATAATGTTACTTTTAAAATTTTCAATAAAAATAATGAATTTACTATGATACATTTAAAAGACAGAATATTGTCATCTAATTTTAAAAATATCAATTATTTATATTAAAAAATTTTAATGTTATAAATTTGTGGATAATATATAAATTGTTTGGAATATAAATTATTCAGTATTTCATTAGAATGTATAAACACAAGCTTAATTAAAAATAAAAGAAAATAAAACAAATGAATTTATTTTTTGTAATAATCAATTAAATACATTGCACGATTTACATATCAAGCAAACGATCTATGAATATGGAATAAATAAATATTTAAAAATTTGAATGAAAAGAAAGAAGTTATATTCAACAACAAAACTTTTTTGACAAACACAAATACTCCTCTGGATGTTAATGTGAGATGCCTCTTTGAACTTTCTCTAAATTTCAAATGAAATATTATCACAATTAAAAGTGGAAGCTACAAACGGGACAAAATAAAAGCTTTAATAGAGCGTGAATTTATATTAAAACAAAAAATTGTTGAGGCTTCAAACCTGAATTGAAAATTTGCAACAATTATAAGTAGAAAAAATACATTCAAAATGATGAGTAATGACAACGGAAAAATTTAAATACATATAATAAAAAAGAGCTAGGACTAAATTGTTGTTGTTGTTGTTATATTATCATATTATAGTAGTTCTTCATTTCTATCAAGATTTATAAGCAATAGTCACCAGTCCTCTCCCTTCTTAGGCTTTCTTCGTATGTGACCATTTAGCCAGTTACCTTTATTGCGCCCAATTCATTAATCTTTGGGCTCCTACGCTACAATAAAATAAAATAAATGGAAGCTCAATAAATAGACAAGGACAAGCTAAAAAAAGAAGTATTACTCCCTCCAATCCTATCTGTAGGACACTTTATAGGATTACTTTTTGATCCAAAATATAGAATACCCTGTAATAATTAAATCACTTTTTTAATTTTACCATTTCTTGATTTTTAAATCAAGGATAAAAATGAGAGCATGTTTCATTTTTTTTATAATAAAAAAAAATTAACTTTTTCAATTTATATGAAATAGTTGAAAGTGTCTTATAATAAGGATCAGAGGGAGTAATATATAAAGAATCAAGAGTACAGAATAAACAAATGTTAACTTCTCCAATGACAAAGCTTCTCACTTCATTACCTTACTTATCTCGCGTTTGCATACATCAATAAGATCTTCATCTCCATCATGCTTCCTTTTCTGTAATCACATGAAGGGGAAAATTGTATAAAATGGAGTTTTCCACATTATTTTGAAACAGTATGAAAGAAATCTTCATATTTCCTTTTCAAATGCTGACATCAAATCAAAGTCATGCCCTAAATTGGATCTTAATTCACAAGCAACTGAGGGTTGACAGCATCAACAGAACTTTCTTAAAATTCATGAATAACCAAAAAAAGAAAACATAAGATATTCAATGAAGCAACTAATTCATTTAATCAAATTGCAAGATGACAATATTATGATCCAATACTTTAGAACACTAAATGAGAAAAAAGTAGCAGCAGAGAAAATTCCTCAACCTTTTCATGTTGTTTCTTGCCATGATCAGCACTGGAAACTTGATGCCCACTTTTATCTTTCTTTCTTTCTTTTTTCCCCCTTGTCTTGTTGATTCGGTCTTTATTACGATGCTTGTGCTTCTTATGCTCCTTGTCCTTCTCTTTGTCCCTGTTCTTATGCTTGTTAGGCCTTTTCTCCTTTTCTTCAGACTCACTTTTTGATTTTCCAGTAATGGTGGCAGATCCCTTCTCACCGTGTTAATAAGATGACACGATCAATAGTTTATCAGGTACACAGAACAATTATGCAACGGAAAAATGATGTTCAGAGCAAGAAGTTTCTCATTAGAGGCAAATCAATGGGACCTGTTTCCTTAAGTTGAAAGGTTTCCTATAGAATATCTAAGTCAAATGGCTGTATACTAGCAGTTGTATCTCTTGAGAAGGATGGAGTTTGAATAAGTTGATCCAACTGCATATTATCTCCTGTTCTAATTTCTGTCTCCCACGATGTTGCTGAAAAACTCATCGTGGGGTAGTAATTTGAAATGATTTATGAGATCCACAGCCCTGTCAATTCCCTTAGTAATAACTCCTAATGGTTGAAAAACATTGTACGAACTCAATGAGAAAAAATCTAACCCAAGAAAAAGTTACAGGCGATTTCATGCACAAATTGTTGAAAGAGTTAGATCAGAAACATGGAAACTAAAAAATCACACCACAAAATTAGATATTTAAATCATAACAAAGGTTTTGCATATGACTCGAGTCAAGACAAGAGACAATGTCATACTGATCTTGTTATCTCAATCTAAACCACCAAATACTCTTCCACAGTTATATGAATCATTTTCTATACTCCATTTTATCCCCATGGTTATGAGACAAGCTTGACTTTGTACACTCCATTTTACTCGATGTTCTATACTCTATTTTATACTTGTGAAAAAAAGTAGAGAAAGAAAGGACTTCATAAATATCTAAATAAACAACAAATTCTATAACATAGACACTAAATACACTAATCTAAAATTAATGGTAAGAGATACTAAACCCCCTCCTAAAAGATTCAAAACATCTATTGCCAGCAGAGAAAAGCCACTTATAGTGATATATAGGCATGGATCTGCGCTAGTCTAAAGCATATCCAAGTTTGACATAAGACATGTGTCAAACATCAATTGAAGAAGACAAAAATAAAAACCAAAAGTACACAAAGCCATAAATCAAGCAATAATTGGAGATTAGATTTATAGTAACTTGATTTACCATCTTTCCAAGCCCTGAAAAATGCAGGGGGAAAAAAAGCATTACAAAAACAATTGCAAAGTAGTAATCAGAAATCATAAGAGAGAGGGGGAAAAAAAACTCTCTATGAACCACAATCGAATCAAGAAAAACAGCTTAGCACAAGACAAAAAAAAAAAATCTGACAACGACAATTGTGAGAGGGGGGAAAAAAAGACTGTTTATCAACAACTAAATAGTGGTGCTATACCTTCAGTGCTTCAACTATTGCTAATCCATTTGAAGTTAGTAATGTTCGAGAATCTCTAATTGGTTGATCAAAGAGAAGATACAGCTTAGCATGAATTTTTTTAATATATAGATAAACAAATTTGTATAGTAGAAAATTACCATAAACAGTAGAAAATTTGGCAAAAACCTTACTTGGATCTACATAGTTGATATTTTTAAAGATTCTGACCAGAGCAATGCAGTCAATATAATTAAGTTGCCTCAAGAAAACAAACCATAGAAATAGATTTCGCCTTATGTTTTCCTTGCAAAAGGCCCTTTAAAGATTCTAATGCATCCCTTAGCTTTTTCAAAAGAACACATCCCTCCAAAGATGGTATCTCTCTAAGCTTTGCCTGAAATCAATAAAAAAATTTAGTGATCCTTCATATAATCATCTGAATACAGAGAATTTATGAAAGTGTTGTCTCTGTGATTCAAACTTAGTATAAGTTTTGCTAAGAGACCACAGGATAAGTTCTAGTGTGAAGAATATACTACGGAATCCACAGGATGAGGTTGCTTATTCTGTGGGTGATATCATACTAATGAGTGTAAAAACTTCTCGGGCTATTTGGCAAGATCATTCTGGCAACAGGAGATGCATTTCGAGCAGAGACTGAATGCATCATGTGTTTGTTAAAGAAATAGGTTTCTGATTGTTGAAGCTCAATATATCTCCGTAACTAAGTGGAAGGATCACCTGGGGGATTTTCTATGGTAAGCCATCACAGTTTACTTCATTCCTCAATAAACAATGATTGCATCAAAGGATGGTATGTATACGATATGAATTGTATATATGTTAATAGAGGAGATGAAAACTGATAGTTTGGCTTTACGCAAAACATTTTTTTTTTTTTTGGAGATTTCCTATGTGAAGAATATAAAAATACAGCTACGTCGTGATTGTTGCATCACTTTCGAACATTGGAAAATCATTTTGGGAGATTTCATATTGCTGCAGCTGGAAATTCGCAGTGAAAGTTACAAGGCAGAAAGTGCATGACAGCACAGGAAAACTCTCAACAGGTGAGTCCTCGGTTTTAATGGGGAAGATAGTAACTCAACTTGGGGAAAAGGATGGTGGATCAGAATCTCAAGTATCTTTGTAGAGCCAAGGTGCTGCACTAAAAGCCAACATTTAAAGATCAAAGAATGAGGAGCACGAGAGACTCAAACTTAATAATGAACAATGCAACCAAACATCACGCGAGAAATTTTTTTTTTTTTTTCCCTTGTCTTTGCTTAGAAATAAGGACGAGGCTGTTTACCCTCAACAACCATCATCTTTGTGCAGAAAATGAAATTGTTCAACCATTATTTTGCCTCCTCAGCTTCAATCTGAAACTATATATTAACAAAAGAATAATTTTCCACTACAATACATTGAAGCAATCTAGATAGAGAAGTTTATGATCATCGGAGAATGAATCATTGAATAAGAAATCCTGAGCAGTTCATAATCATCAGAGAATGAATCATACCCAAACCCATAAACTATGGAGGCGGATAAGCAAGTATAGGATTCAGGTCGTCGTTCAACGGACAGCAAAGGGAGAATCTGATGGTCTCGGCGGTGCGCGACTTGGAGGGTCCCATAATAGAAACACTCACTCTCCCTGTGTCACTCTCCATTTGTACCGGAACTCGAGTAGAATCATTGAAAAAAGGGCGATAAACATCACTTAACGGAGAAAATGTCCATGGAAAATTGCAGCAGACAAGGGCCATAAATGGAGAAAATAGAATCAGTTAATGCTCCCGTTGCAAGTTGCAATCTACGATTTGAACTTGAAAAAAAAAAAAGGTGGGACTGCACACATGAGAAACCGCAAGAGAACATTGGAAGATGGTTGCGTAATAAATGAAATTAACCAATCAAAGGGAAGTATTTACCCAAGATTAAAGTCCATGATCCAATCAGAATGAAGATTTTTTCAGCCAATCACATTGATTCTATGATATTTGTAGATGATAGGTGATTGATTGATTGATGATTGATTATATTAAATAAATTCAAGCATGTTTAATACATACATGAGAGTAAAATACACTAACTATCTTTCTATTTATCTAAATTATATAATTACCTCTCTTCTATTTTAAAAACCTACGTAAACTTCCCTTAAAATTAAAATGTAAGTTACAGATATCCTTATATATATATGTGAGATTCAATTTCCATCCCCAAAACATTAATTGACCATTAAGTTTGATTTTTAAATTTTTATTTTGATTAAAATACCCCTCTTTAATATGAGAATTATGTAAACATTTATGTTTTCTGAAAAAAATAGTTTTTATACAATCAAAAAATTCTAATACATACATTTTCAAAATTTTATTATGTTAATTATAAAATTTAATTATTTTTTTAATAATATAATTTTATTTATAATTTTAATTATTTTTAAGTTATTAAAAATTATTTATTTTTGTTTTTTACATTAATAAAATGATAATTCTAACATATTTTTATCATCACCATAAAATATAAAACAATGAAAGTTTGAGAGATTATATAAATTATTTTTTTGATTTGAAATTCGTAAAAATGTTTTTATGATGGAGAATGACAATAAAATCTCAAAATAAAAAATTAATGATAGTTAAGTCCTGACAAAATTTTTAAGAAATAAATTATAAATATTAATAAAAATAGTTGTAGACAAGAATTATAATTGTAAATCAAGAGTTATATTTAGAAGAATTAAAAGGCAAAAATATTTCAAAACTTTGTGATGAGGTGTACGCATCCTAATTTTTTAATTGAAGCAATTTTATTTCAAAACTATTAACAAGAGTAAAATTTGATGAGGTGGGAAGTTGCTCATTGCCACCTGCTTCCATCTTCTTGATTTGGATCCGGACCAAGAGTCCCTTGGGGTTTCCTTTGAGAGCAATTGACGCAGATCCTGTTGGTTGGGCTTGCAGGTCACAGATTCGCTTTGCGTCGCCATGAATATCCTATCGGACCTATCCGATGGATCTGAAATTGATGCTTGGACACCTCAAGGAAATTAGATAGGGACAATTCAAATAAAGACCACCGACGTGACTTAATTATTAATAGATTTTAAAAATTTTAAAATTTCAATTCAATTCAGTTTAAAGAAATAAAGTAAAAATAATTTCAACTATAAAAATATTAAAATATCATTTACTTGTTATATAGATTTATTAGTTGTTAATTTTTTTACATCACTTGTTAATTTACCACAATAATATTGGTTATCAAATTTATTATTAATTTATTATGTAAATTTACTAATATTAATTGTAAATTATAAGACTTGTTAATAATTTACAATTATATTAATAAATTACAAAATTTATTAATAATTTATAATTTATGTTACTAAATTAATAAGCTAATAATTTAATAAGGTATTGTTGCTCATGAATGAAAAATTAGATAAATAGGAAAATCTGATCAAAATAAAGTAGAACGATCGTCTCTCCTCGCTTCGGCTTCTTTTTCCTTTTGGTGAAGCGAAATTGCGAGAGGATCCAAACAAAAGGGAAGAATGGAGAGAGAAGAAGAACTCAGAGAAGGCCACCTATTTCCATTTTTTTAATTTTGTTTTTAAATGCATGTGGAAGCCAATGGCAGATAAAGTCAAACAGACAGTTAGCGGAGTAAAATTACACTATTTTAATAATTTCAAGACAAAATTATCTCAATAAAAAATTTATAATACCAGGCACCCCTCACAAAAAGTTTCATATTAACTTTATTTAAAATTTAAATATCTTATTTATAAGTAAAATTTCTAAATTTAAAACTATCAAAATCAATATTTGTAATTGATATTTTAGAAATTTTATCTAGAATCTAATTGTCATGAACTTCTTATTTTAAACTTCAATGTGATTCTCCCTTTTTACTACAAATATTTATTAATAAATAAAATTTTTAAAATATAAATCTTAATTAAAAAAATCATTTTTTAGAGTTTTTTAGACTATTTAAGGATAAATGTGCAAATTAACCCTTAAATTATAAGTCCAAAAACATTTGAGATTTTAAACTCATTTTTTTTCATTGTTTGTCTTTAACTTTTAAAAATGGTGTAATATGGCCCTTGTGGTTAACAAAAGTTAATTTTGATTATTAATTAATAAAAGAATTAGTTAACAAAAAATTATTTCAACTAATAGTTAAAAGAAAATGACCAAAAATCACAATAAAAGAGTCAAAAATTATAAAAAAAGATCCAAAAATTACAGAAAATGACCAAAAAATTTTATGGCCATTTTCTCATTAACTAATTATTAAATTTAATTTTTATTAATAAAAATGATCAGATTGTAATATTTTCAAAATTAAAAAAAATTGCATAAAAATATAATTTTAGAATTTCAGACACTCCTGACTATACAGTTTAAAGGCCAATTTATTCTTTTATCGTATTCCTACAGAGTTAACATATTTGGCTAACTGTATATGTTTTAAAAGTAAGAAGGAGATATATGTAATCAAGGGAAACTAAAAGGCAGGTTAGACCATTTCATTATATATATAGACACACTTTATATATTGAACTTACACGCATGTAGTTGGTCCAAAAAAAAGCTAACACGCATGTAATCTCATGATTTCCACCTTTATTTCTATTATATTTTTTTATTATATTCTCTTAAAAATAATTAACCATATTATATCATATCAGCATCAACATTGATCACCACCAGGTGGCCTGGGCTTATATTAATTCTTAAAAAAGATTTTTCATTTAATTTGAAACACCATATTTCCGATCCGGACAACGGACAGAAGAGGGTTAAGGTTGATTGAGATCAGTTGAAAATTCGAGCATTTCTTTCCATTCATACAGAATAAATGATACTTCGTTTGTTGAGTATTGTGACAATATTTAAAAAAAATTTAAAATATCATATTAAAATTATAAAATTTACTGATAAATAAAATAAATTATATTGACTAGTTTATCTATCAGTATATTAGATTCCTATTTCATTAAGACTTTTTTTTGTATATACATGTTTGACAAAATATTAATCTACCCAGCATATTTAAGTTATTTTAAAAAATTACTATATAAATAAGTTTACATAATTAAGAAATTTAACATATGAATAGAAGGTACGAATTTATCCATGACAGTTTTTTGGGTAGCTTAAGTGATTTGTAGATAACAACTATATTTAAAGAGGAGGTATTTTGGTCCAACATAATTAACTTAATGATAACTAATGGTTGGGTGGATGAAAATAAAATATTAAAAGTAGAAGGGGGTTTTGTGAGTGCTTAGGAACTACTGATTTCAAGGGAGGTTTATACGGGTTTTAAAAATAGAAGGAAGATATATGTAATTAAGAAAAAATAGATTGGGGAGGACATTGAATTTTACTTTTTAAAATTGTACATTCTTTCCATATTTACTCTTATATTTAAGTGTTTGAACTATAAAACCTTATTAATTATACTTACAAAGATCCAAAATGCCTTATGTTCATGAACGTAATATTTTAGAAAAAAATACCTTCTGGATGAAGGGAGTAGCAGTAATGCAAGCAAACAAGCAAATCTTTTGATTTCGCTAACTTTATAGACAACACAAAGCCAATAATATTACTTCCCCTGGTTATTTATATAAGTACTTATTATCAACTTTAAGTATATAACGAAAACTGATTAAAAATAGTTAATTCTTACAGTTATAATTTTAATTAATACCTCCTTAACCTTAATCCTAAGATCTAAATTAAGAAAACTAATTAAAGTCCTTTTTAACTACATGATGTTGTTTGATTAATTTAGGGATAAGTTGCTCACTTTGTCAAGCTAAGGAATATTAAATCAAAAGGTATTTTTATTTTGGGGGAAAATTATTGTCTCAAACAAAAGCTCTTTTTTTTTTTTAAAGCTCTTATATTAAGGACGGAGGATTGTGCTTATAATAAGGTTTTGCAGTAGTTCCTGAAAGATTATTATCATATAGAAGAAATTAGTGTCCATGGAAGTTAAGGAAAGATGAGTGATATTTATCCATTGTACTTTCTTGGGCAAAAAATGTTGAACCCTAGTTTTGATGATTACAAAATAAAGGAAAGTTTGTGCGATACAGGATATTTAATCTTAATCAGAGATTATTTGGGTTAAAACATTAACTGACTAAGGGTGAGCTTATTCATGTAATAGAAGTTCTTATGTCCAAATATCTCTTTGTTAGTTAAGCACTTGACTTAACTATAATCTATGTGCTTGATGCAATCCTGTTCTAAAATATTTTTAAGTGTTTTTAGCACTAGTACTCAAAGCTTTAACACCGGTGCTACTTGAATTATTTCCACTTCTCTATTAGTTCATGTTTCATATAACACCAGTCCTACTTTCTCTAACACCAATGTTAATTTTTTAAACATGTGCAATTGAATCTCTATCCTTTGAACGCTTTTCTTTGCACTGGTACCTTTACTTAACATCGGTCTTGTTCTTCATCTATGTCCATGTTTGAGTTAAGACAACACCTATGTTCATCGTTAGTACTATTACTATTTTAAACAATTATCTGTAACACCAATGCTAACTGTACAGCATTGGTACTGTCTCTTCTATTCTCTTGCAATGATGTTTGATTAATCATGTTACTTCGGTGTTACTTTCTCTAACACTGGTGCCAAGTTATATTTTTAAAAATGTCTATTCACTCAAAATTATCAAAAATCTTCATCTTTTATGATGATGGATTTATACTGGTACTATCAGAACAAAACTTGTGCTATGCTTGT